AATTTGCAGTTTGTGTGAGTTTCAAATTTAAAAAGGGTTTTTTCCACAATAAACATTTTTCCAGTTATAAAAGGCTAAGGAAAATTTTGTTAAACCGAATATGACTTAATTTATTTAAATAGTATATTTATTCCCAGTATATTTTTGGAATTTTTTTTTAAATTCGAAGCTCACCAGCTGAACTGGGACACCCTGTCTTTCTTTAATTACCTACATAAAATGATTTGGAACATTACCTAACCCATATCTAGCAAACCTAAGATTGCCGAATTACACATCAGGCAATGTCCGTAATACGAAATAATCTCGAAGGTTACCTGGAGAGGTACGGCAATGCTGGAATTACCTAGGCAAACATAAGTTTAGCGACGTAATGGGCTTTGCCGCTAACGTATGCAATCTAAGAAATACACATGAAGTAGAATGCAGTGAAGTGATGAAATAACAGAGAATGCAAGTAGACAATTTTAGAAGTCTGATCTCGTACGCTTATACCTTCGATACGTTCAAACGAATTAAAACTTTTTTAATTAATTGCGTCCTTCCCAGACGTCTCAAAAATACGGGACCGGTGTCAAAATTCCAGTTTTTAAAGAACGCTTCTTTTGAGATAAATTCCAGCTCAATTGGGCGGTTCTGCAACTCATTTAAATGTTACTAATTAATTATGGTTAGTCAAATGACCGGAATGCAATCTCCAAATTCGGCAGTTTAATTAACACCCATTGTTAATTGAAATTCGAAGGTCAAACGGCGAGATCATCGATATCACATGGCATCTACGAAATCTTCACGACAACTCTTGAGATTAAATCAATTACCTTTAGCTCTTCAACTCGTAGAACCCAAACAAATACTCTCAGTGTCAAGGCCATTTGAGGGTGACTTTACAACAAAATAGCTTGACGAAAGCAAGTGATAGCCATATAAGCACAATGAAGATATCCTAACTCAAATTCATATAAAATTCCATAAGGTCACACAGACGGATGTTGATGCGACCTGAAAACATCTGTACTTAGAGAGTGCCACCCGTACATACAAAAAAAAGGCGCGGCCCAAGTTATCTCGCTGGCCTCCTGACGAGGACTTTCAACACTAAATAGAAGATGTGATAATCTTAGAAGCAACAGTTCATAGGCTGCTGAGCATTCAAAGTCCAAAGTTTGGTCGCCGTTCAAAGTTTAAAGTTTCCTCGCAGTTCAAAGTCCAAAGGTTGGCCGTCCAAACTCGTGTTTTAACCAAATTACAGTGAAGATGTCATTCTGTCAGTAAAAGCCTCCGCTTTGACAATCAGAGGGAAGACCAAAGCTTCCCTATTTTCTACAGTTTCTATAGTTCTATAGTGTCGTAAGTACCTTGGCGTAATTTTTTACGCCTCCACAACATTAGGCAGTATTGGCTTTACTTTTTTTTTCGAAGAATGAGTGAATGAATCGCATGGTGCTAAAGTTATGCATGACATAATGACCCAGATGTACGATACTAACGGTTCATCTCATTTTGAAGTACATTTTCAGTCCAAACAATTTCGATGGGGTTGAAACTCGAACGACCCAAGATAGGAGGACCAGTTGAGTCAAGAGCTGAGGAAAGCATAGGAGGAAAGAAATTTGTCAGCAGCACTTGGACGTTTTGCCGAACGATGACAGTTATTTGTGGTGATTGTCACAGGCGACGAAACGTAAGTGTTATAGCCCTCCCACAAATAGGAATCAACGCATTTGGTCCATATTGGTTCCCAAAAAACGGCAAAAACCCTTCGTTCGTTTGGAAAATTTATGGCGACCAGACTAGTTTTATAGAAGCACGATTAACTGCTTCAGGTTTTTTAAGCAAAACGACAGAACTCATGGAAAACAAAAAGTGCGATGTTACACGAAAAATGCACAAGATTCGCTATGGTCATAATTATTGCAAACTGATGGCTTCACAGAATTATCCCATCCACCTTACAGCCCAATAGCGTCGTTTTTGTATGAAGTGAAACAGCTGGAAAAACCCTTTGTACGGTTTTCTTCACAGTTAGGTGGGAACGGGTCCGTTAACTTGGCCCCCCCCCCCACTGAGAGATTTCATAGTCGTATTATTTTGAAATGAATGCGCTCGTTATGCGCTCATATGCGCCACCGATAATAACTCTTGCGCCATTATCGTTTTTTAGAAATCCGAAAAAACATTGGGGGGGGCCAAGTGAACGTAGCCCCCCCCAGTACGTATTTTGTCCCTTGTAACTAGGTCACCTGATACATTTGGTTATGCGCTCAATTGCGCCACTTGAATTAAAGCTAGCGCCATTACGGTTAAGCCGTGACAAATTTTCAAAAAGTGGGGGGGCCAACTTAACGTTTTTAAAAGTTACTTTTTTTTAACATCTTTTCATACGAAATTGTACTCTCAGGTATGCGCTGAAATGCGCCGTAAAAAGATATCTTTGCGCCATTATTGTTTTTTGGTTATCCTTCAATATATTTGGGGGGGCCAAGTGAACGGAATCCCCCATAACGCATTTTGCTACCGGTATTTGTGCCGCTTGATACATCTGGTTATGAGCTCAATTGCGCCACTTGAATTAAAGCTAGCGCCATTACGGTTAAGCCATAAAAAATTTTTAAAAAGGGGGGGGGCTAACTTAACGTTTTAAAAAGTTACGTTTTTTAACATGTTTTTTCTACTACATCGTACCTTTCGTCATGCGCTAAAATGCGCCGTAAACAAAAATCTTGGCGCCATTATAGTGTTTCAGAAACACTATACAGGGTGTTTTTTTGGGAGCTTTAGTTAAACGATTCTGAGAAAGGTTAAAAATTTGTATTTAGGAGTTACTCCGAAGGCCGAATCGATGGAAAATATTTTCAAAATGGACGCACTTCCGGAAATAACTTTTGAAAACGCCAAGTTAGACCCTCAACTTTTTAAAAATTTTTTATGGCTTAACCGTAATGGCGCTAGCTGGGTCCGTTAACTTGGCCCCCCCCCCCACTGAGAGATTGATAGTCGTAATATTTTGAAATGAATGCGCTCGTTATGCGCTCATATGCGCCACCGATAATAACTCTTGCGCCATTATCGTTTTTTAGAAATCCGAAAAAACATTTGGGGGGGCAAAGTGAACGTAGCCCCCCCCCCAGTACTTATTTTGTCCCTTGTAACTAGATCACCTGATACATTTGGTTATGCGCTCAATTGCGCCACTTGAATTAAAGCTAGCGCCATTACGGTTAAGCCGTGACAAATTTTCAAAAAGTGGGGGGGGCCAACTTAACGTTTTTAAAAGTTACTTTTTTTTAACATCTTTTCATACGAAATTGTACTCTCAGGTATGCGCCGTAAAAAGATATCTTTGCGCCATTATTGTTTTTTGGATATCCTTAAATATATTTGGGGGGGGGGGGGGCCAAGTGAACGGAATCCCCCATAACGCATTTTGCTACCGGTATTTGTGCCACTTGATACATCTGGTTATGAGCTCAATTGCGCCACTTGAATTAAAGCTAGCGCCATTACGGTTAAGCCATAAAAAATTTTTAAAAAGGGGGGGGGGCTAACTTAACGTTTTCAAAAGTTACGTTTTTTAACATGTTTTTTCTACTACATCGTACCTTTCATCATGCGCTAAAATGCGCCGTAAACAAAAATCTTGGCGCCATTATAGTGTTTCAGAAACACTATACAGGGTGTTTTTTTGGGAGCTTTAGTTAAACGATTCTGAGAAAGTAAAATAGGTAGGTTTTTAAAAATTTGTATTTAGGAGTTACTCCGAAGGCCGAATCGATGTAAAATATTTTCAAAATGGACGCACTTCCGGAAATAACTTTTGAAAACGCTAAGTTAGACCCTCCACTTTTTAAAAATTTTTTATGGCTTAACCGTAATGGCGCTAGCTTTAATTCAAGTGGCGCAATTGAGCTCATAACCAGATGTATCAAGTGGCACAAATACCGGTAGCAAAATGCGTTATGGGGGATTCCGTTCACTTGGCCCCCCCCAAATATATTTAAGGATAACCAAAAAACAATAATGGCGCAAAGATATCTTTTTACGGCGCATTTCAGCGCATACCTGAGAGTACAATTTCGTATGAAAAGATGTTAAAAAAAAGTAACTTTTAAAAACGTTAAGTTGGCCCCCCCACTTTTTGAAAATTTGTCACGGCTTAACCGTAATGGCGCTAGCTTTAATTCAAGTGGCGCAATTGAGCGCATAACCAAATGTATCAGGTGACCTAGTTACAAGGGACAAAATACGTACTGGGGGGGGGGCTACGTTCACTTGGCCCCCCCACCCAAATGTTTTTTCGGATTTCTAAAAAACGATAATGGCGCAAGAGTTATTATCGGTGGCGCGTAACGAGCGCATTCATTTCAAAATAATACGACTATGAAATCTCTCAGTGGGGGGGCCAAGTTAACGGACCCGGTGGGAACTTAATTGGTAGCTATCTATCTTATAACGACTCAAAACGGGGTGATATTGACTAAGTGGATTGATAAAGACACTAAACCTTCCCCATACTTCTTCCTGAAATAATTAAAAGAAGTATGGGGAAGGTTTAGTGTCTTTATCAATCCACTTAGGTGGGAACTTGTTACACTTTATCATATCGTGTTTTGTCAAATTAATCGAAACCAGGAATGTCGATGCCCCTTGGTAAACTTATGGTATTTACTTAATGATTGTGTATCAATATATTCGTCTGTACCTTTATTAATAATAGATACGGTGTTCATTCACCTAAGATAATAAGATAATTTTGGGATTTTTTTTAAATTACACACACAGGAGTTTTCTCGTCTGTGCCAAATGCCAGAGTTCTAAAGTTCTTCATACATATACATCGCCGTTAGGCTTAGATCGGAACTAGATCAAAAATGGCACAAGCGGTGAAAATGCATTTCTTTTTTGACAAATTTGCGCCATTGTTGAGGGAGCTACTTTTTATCTATATAACACTTAGTCACTCTGATAATTACCTATGGCTATCTATCCTATTTGGTTAATGATAATTAGTCTTTCAAGTGCAACCGTAAGTTTCTCAGTGAAATAATTTAATGATCAAGAATCCACATGGTGAACGATAGGTTGGGGTAATGCCGCATATGGTGATAAACATTATCGTAATTTCAGTGCAAAAATAATAAGTCGAAGCGAATGGGGTGCCAAAAACAGCAAGCGACCTCTGCAGTCATTCACGGTGAATCCTCCATCTTACGTTATTGTGCATCACAGCGCTACTCCATCTTGTGTTACTAAAGACAAATGCACAACTGTCTTACAAGCGCTCCAAAATTTTCACATGGACAATCGCGAGTGGAATGACATTGGTTATAACTTCTTGGTAAGTTTATTGCAATTCCACGCCGACAATGACGGACTGTTTTCAGGTTTGTGAGGACGGAAACGTGTACGAAGGTCGAGGTTGGGGGAAAATTGGAGCACACGCACTCAGATACAATAGTAACAGTATTGGAATTTGTATAGTTGGAGATTATGTTTGTACGCGTTCGAGTTTCATTGCGGTATAAGCACTTCATGATTTACTTTCAGCTACATCGCCGAATGATTCCGCATTAGCCGCCCTCAAAACTCTTATTCAAGAAGGAGTAGCGAAAGGACACATAAAAAGAGACTACAAACTATTGGGCCATGGACAAGTAGGGGCAACGGAATGCCCAGGGGGTGCTCTTTACAATGAAATAAAAACTTGGAAGCAATGGTCGCCTACTCCATAACATTTTGGATACTAACCAATCTTCCATAGAGTAATATAGCTACAGTTTGTAATGGTTAAGTCTCTATCTTACCAAACATAGGCAGGATTTAGCTCGATATTACCATAATAGGTAGAACATTCTTGTTTTACTTGATTGTGTAAGTGTACATAAATAAAACTTCCAAATCTTGAACTGAAATACGATTACTATTTATAAATAGTTTTATAATGGCTAGGATAGTACCTTTCGATCATTACCGCACACACTTTTAATTTAATGACAAAATATATCCATATACATCACACAGTTGTTGATTTTTAACTATTTACGGCGCCAAAAAGAACGAACTTGTAAGTAAGTACGTATTGGTTATATTTGCTTTACGGTCACTGCTTCAATTGGTTGAGATTCACTGTCATACCGAAAAGATCACTGGCGCCATTTGTCGGTGGATTTTCTGTGCAGGCCTGGGCTGAATTTTCCAATTTCCTTTCCCGGAATCTTTCTTGCTCGCTTGCGCGTTGAAACAGAAGGGTCTAATTGCATCTCAATCATTGTCTATTGTTTTTAGCGGTTTACTCTGCATAGTTCGATAATTAGGAGCGAGCCTAGGCCCTTATCTCCGAATTGGAGGATATATTTTGGATTTCTGATTCTGTAAGTATGACCATTTTGTTTAATTCGCTTGCTGAAGTGATGAATTCTTTTAGGTTTTGCTGTGGAAGTTGAACAGGTCGTTTTGCCTTCCTTACTGTGATGTCGCCGTCTTTTTATTTATTTTTTTTATCTCTTGTTCTAGGCTCTCAACAGGTTTACGCCCAATTACAAAGTGACTCGCATAATACTTTTTAGAGGTACCTCTGCAGAAGGTATTAAGTCGATCTTCGCTTTTTCACTTCATGTACACGATCATTATTGAGTTAGGGGATTGATTAGGTTTTAGGTTCATTTTATAACGTAAAAGTTTTGATGTATGGGGATTTATTTTGCATGGGTAGGGAGAGTTTAATTTAACTTTATTTGCGTTATTAAATGGGTTTTGATTGTCAGGATTTCCTTATCGAATTTCATTGTTACTTCTCTTGTATCTTCCCTGTTTTATATAGGGAGAGTTAAGCATTTAAATAAATTAGTTGGGATTGAGAAATGTTGTGGTTGGCCTGAAACGAAAGGGTCACGGCATTATTTATTTGTTCGCCAATAGTGGGGCAGTTATTTTTGGGTATGGTTGTTTTTGGCCTTGCCAATGCTCACAGCAAAATATACGGGGTGTCAATTTTAAAACTTGCAGCCGGCCATATTTTCCAAACTAAAGAAGATATTGAAAATCGCGCAAAACCGTTTCGGAGGTATCGAAGGGGAACCAATATGGCGTTATCAGTGACAACCCCTCACTCCCTCTCCCTTAACCCCCCACTTCAAAAATCCTAAATGGCAACCCCATACCTCGCCCCATACTTGTGACACATCGTTGGAAATCTACTAAAATATGCTTTTCTTTGGTACCAATAAAGTCAATATTCACAAAAATTTAATAATTAACAAAAAAAAACTAATGTTAAATTGAGGGATTTATGGCAATTTGGCCAAGAACTTCACCCTGAGCTGCTTCATTAAGCAATCTTAGTTGCTTTCATTTTTATTGATAACCGATCCCGTTTCTTCGAATTTAGCGATCAAATCTTGAACATAGGCATGGCTTACATTTCTCCCGGGATGTCTCTCATTAAACGTTCTAGCTGTTCTAAAAGATGGTCGATTTTTGGAGCCATAAATGAATATTATTTCCACACGTTCAGCTGTACTGTAAGACAATAAAAGAAAAGAAAGCAACCATTGCTTAATGAAACAGCTCAGGTTGAAGTTCTTGGCCAATTTGCCATAAATCCATCAATGTCAACATTTAGTTTTTTTTTGTTAATTATTAAATTTTTGTGAAATTGTCTTAATGAATATTGACTTCATTGGTACCACTGGAAAGCATTTTTCAGTAGTTTTCCAACGATGTGTCACAAGCATGGGGTTGCCATTTAGGATTTTTGAAGAGGGGGGGGGCAGGGTCGTTAAGGAGGGGTGGGTGGTTGACACTCATAACGTCATTCTGGTTCCCTGTCGATACCCCCGAAACGGTTTTGCGCGATTTTCAATATCTTCTTTAGTTTGGAAAATATGGCCGACTGCAAGTTTGAAAATTGACAGCCTGTATTTAAAGATTGATAATAAAAATAAATAAACAATTTGATTGATCTGGTGATTTTCTTGTTTTAAATAGTGCAAGTGCGACAAAGATGGGTTGTATTTTCTTATGAGTAAGAGAGAGATAGTGTGCAAGTGCAAAGTAATACCACGTGACACTATGTCCCTCCATTTTCGACAATTATTATCAAATTACCGCTATCAATATAATTAAATCCGCGAAATCAAATCAAAACGCTAATTAAAAGATGCGAATACATCGACCGACGAGCTCCATCAAGATGAGAATTGCTTGGCCAAATTAATTAATTTAATTAATCAAGATCAAAGTCTAATTTCAAATACATGATTAACTTAATTCAATTTAATCCGCAAAACAATTAAACAGAGTCCACGAATTAATTCCGCAAAGCCAATCGAGCAATCAGAGCACGGATCAGCGAATCAAATCACCGATTAAAGCAAAACCGCAATAGAAAATATGAATCAAACAAAAATCTGACGATTTTATTGGACCAATTTATTTCAACTTTTAAAGTAATAATTAATTTAGCTTAATTAAATGAGCGAATTAAATTAATCCCCCATATTAAATCGCAAATAAAATCCAATATGAGTGATAAAGTGACCTGGTTCTACTCCCATTTAATTAGCCAGTTGCTGTTACTGCACATACAGAGATGTGATTTAAGAACAGATAAATTCAATAAAAATGAAACGTAGGCGTGTTCGGAAATACGCTTGGATACGCAGATTTTGTTTTCAGATTGCGCATATTTTGACACAAAATGTAGGTATACAGGGTGCCCCAAAATAGCGTGGCAGAAAAATATTTTTTTCCTTAATTAGAAATGCCAGTTATCACTCTTCAACATTTTAGTTAATAACGTATGGGGAGAAGTTTAAAGTTTTTCCATAGGTAGTATCTAGGAATGGAGACCATTTTATGCTGCTGTAGATGGCACCACGTATCAGACGGTTAAAAAATTGAAAGGTTTTGAAAATCGCAAGGTTACGAAATTGGATTAATGGTGGAAAAGGTTGCGCATTTACCTACGTACATAATTGATACAATAGGGGTTCACATGTTTAAAAATGAATTCCAAACGACACTTTTCGGTGCGGCAAATGGGCGACAGAATTTTTTATTGTTCCCATTCCCTTAACCTACATTTCGACAACGCGTTGTCAAATAAATAAAAAGAATGGCAATGCATTCGCGCCACGGCATTAAAGTGATATTTCAAACGAAATGTCTGAAATATCTGGCAAATAATAATTCATTTAAGCTTTTGAGATATTCAGTGCAGCTTTAAAAATAACACAAACTTAATTTAAACACCGAATAAAATCCACATAACGAATGCAATGAAAACATTGTATGCAAGTACATAAAAATGTTTTTCTACTTCCGCTTTCGCATACATCTTCGCGATCGAATGTCACACGAGGGGGTTGCATAATGACGACGTCATTTCAACATTTGTAAGCGAATCGAACCGAAAATAGTTACAAAGTCGTAAAGATCCGCAAAATATATTGCTCTGAGTTTATACAAGACTTTGTCATTTAGTTATTATTTTAAACGGCTTTTAGCAACACTGAATCCGAATCTATTGTTCTAAATGTTTGCTCGTTGCGCTGCACGTCTAAAATTTAACACTTTCTCAAAATAATTACCTAAAGTTCAGAAAAAGTATCGTAATTAATTGTCGCATTAACAGGAACCCATAGTCTCTTTGTAATCATTATGTTCAAGACGCAAAAGTTTCCTTCATTTGTATGCGTGCCAAAAACAATAAAAAAAATTATTTGGCTGGTTCGTTGACAGATCGAAACTGTCTCGCACGCTGTGATCAACAGAACACGATCCGTCATTCGAATAGAGACATGCATGGCAAACAACGGCCATTATTTCAGAAAAACTAAATAATTAAGACATTAAGTTACGTGAAAGTCGTGAAAAACTAGTGTTCGTGACCGTTCACGAAAAATTAACGTCGACGTAAATGTAAGACGTTTTATTTTGCCAATTTATGGATTAAAATTATCAAAACGTCAATTACATAATGCTAATGAAAGTAACCTTAATTTTTTTGCACTTGGCACTCACACCCGAAAGCTAACGGTGCATCGTTTAGGGAGGTTAAATTACGCGCAGAAAATTGCATTTTGTATTAGGTAAAGATTTATTGTGACAGATCTTTGGAACTCGCGAGGTGATGATGTGGGACGTACCAAAAATTTATTTAATGAAAATCAAAAATTAAATTTTCCCATGTTATTTGTTTTCAGATTTTGGTCAAGGTGTAGTGGAACACACGGTATATAGCTGTCACCGTTTCTTTGTTTATTGATGCTTTACCCTAATGTGTTACATATTAGCCAGAATACAAAAATAGAGCGTAATCTACCAATATAACATTCTCTAGACTAGATTAATTTCATACATTGATGTACAAAATGGTGGAATAGTATATTAAAGCATAAGTTGCAGAAGGCGCTATATTCTAGTACGAGTTCAAATTTCGAATGAACGAGTGCTAGAAAGGCCTTCTGCAACATATGCTTTATACTATTTTCTCTGTTGAGCATTTTAATTGTATTAAAAAAATTACCAATTCTGACATTTTCTGTAATAAATATTTCAATAAAGAAAATAAGTTGGCAACACCAACAATTTTTCAATAAAGAAATTAAGTTGGCTACGCTACATTTAAAAAAAATTCAATTTAACAAGCGCGTCAAATAAGAATTTGTGCAGTATATTTTAGTTTTTTCAATAAAAAGTGAATAATGTGCGAAGAAATTCTTCCTTCCACTCCTCCAGAGCTTCGACAGTTAGCAGAAGCAGAAGAGAGAAGGTTATAAAACCTCATTTGTATTAAATGTGGATTTCTCTAAGTACCTACACTGAATTTTCAATACCTAATGATTTCAATTACCCGTATCGTTAATAACTGTAACATAATGTTATAACAATAAGTGAAATTAGTCCACATTTTACTAAACCGTTGAGATAAGTATTAACGTCTAAATCATCCAGGCAGAACTTTGAATTGAACATTCGCGTATATGATCAGCCTGGATGATTTAGACAAGCATG